TGCCAGTCAAAAACACTAATAAATGCTGTTACACAGTCAGCTTCCTAGAAAATCGTACATATTATAGTGTGTGTTATTGGAATTTGTCTTAATTTTCAGTCTGTGGCAAAAGTGGGTCACAAAATTAGTAATCTTGACATAAATTACTGGTGGTGAGATTGTCAGATAATGTGCGATGAAGACATACTGCAGGAAAGCTGAAAACTAAGCTTTCACAGACCAGGGGAACACCCAAGGATTTTCATTTGTTTTTATTCCTATTATTGATCCGGAAAATAAAGTTTGGAGAAACCAGGACTTGAGTTTGTATTTTTCTCACATTTAATTCTTGTACTCTGTCAAAAGTCCTATTTCTCGGAATCCTGTTTACTGTAATTTGTTCTCTTCCCAAAGGTGAAGCTTCAATCCTTGCTACCTTCTCTGTAACAGAAGGGAAGAAAAAAGTGCCTGTGGCTGGATGCCGAGTCCTAAAGGGACATTTAGAAAAACAAAAAAAATTTAAATTAATCCGTAATGGACATATTATTTGGAGGGGTAAGTACATCAAATCTGTTTCTATAATATCATATTGTCTCCAAAATCTGCTGTGTAGCATCTGAAATCTCCTACTCCCATCATCCGTGAAGGCCATCTCTTTTTTGCTGTTGACTCCTCCAGGATTGCCTGTCTTCCGACTTCCTGAACTTTTATTCCTGTCATTTATAACTTAACCTTCTACCTGCAGTGTATCTTTTTTCCCACTCCAGTCCTAAATACAATCCCATCATCTGCAAGTCTCCATGTGCCTTAAAACCGGTACACTTAAGATCGTTTTCTCCAAATCAAATCTTATTGATAATAAGCTTTGCTTCCCAGTGTTTAGTTCCATTTGCCATGACAGGACTGTTAACTTCTAAAAATTTTAACAATTTTCCTCTTAATACTAAGCTATGTAGCATGTGGTATTTACTTGTCATGTGTTGAGTATACTTTTTTTGTTTTTTTAAGGCTCACTAACTTCACTGAAACACCATAAAGATGACGTTTCGATTATCAAAACTGGAATGGATTGTGGCCTCAGTTTAGATGAAGAAAAGGTAGAATTTAAAGTGGGTGATGAAATTGTTTGTTACGAAGAAAGGGAAGTTTTAGCTAAGACTTCTTGGGATCCAGGATTTTAAATTAAAAATGGGTTGGGCATTTGGAACGGAGTGCCTGGTCCTGAGTCTGGGCTTCTCACTTAAGGTTCCTGCTAAGATGCACCCTGTTGAGGCAGGGGATGGCGCAAGTACTTTGGTCTCTGCTACTCCCAAGGCAGGCCCAGGTTGAGCTCCAAGCTCCTGGCTTTGGTCCTGGCCCAAAGCATTTGTGGGTATTTGGGTGAGCCTGTAAATGGAGGATATGTCTGTCTTTTGATTAAAATGAAAATTTTTAAAAAGACCCAGTGTCCTGCTTTACTGTCCAGTACCTTACAAAGATTAGCTATATGGCAACTGTTAGTGTATCACTAAATCTAAGTGTATGCTGTGGTTGAATGGCAGGCATCTGGGGCTGGTATTGTGGTATAGTTGGGAAAGCCACCTGTGACACTGGTGTCCCACGTGAGTGCCCATTCAGTTCCTGGCTGCTCCACTTCTGATCCTTCTCCCTGCTACCTGCTAATGGCCTGGGAAGACGTGCTTAGATCCCTGCCACCCACATGGGAGACCAGGATGGAGCTCCATGCTATTGCAGCCATCTGTGGAGTGAACCAGCAGATCTCGCCCCAACTCTGCCTTTCAAATAAATAAATAGTAACAAGAGTTGGTTGGCAGGGATCAATCAAATGAGCTTGAAACTTACTTCTTAGTACTAATAATTCTTCCTTTGTTTGGATTCATCCAGTGGAGCATTAAAGTTTAAAATTCCCAAGTTCAGGTGCAGCACTGAGTAGATAGATGTGTTCCCTTGTACTACAGACAGCAAACCTCCCACTGGAACCCCCTCCCCCTCAAGATACTTCAGATTTCTTGTGTGTCAGATGCATGTTGTAGACTCTGGGAAGGTAGAGTCTCAACTAGGGAGCAAGGAAGAATGGGACTGCTGGCATCAGTTGAGCAGAGGCCAGGGATGCTGGCAGCCCCCCAGATATCTGACCCAAAGTGTCTACTGTGGGGATGTCACCTCAAGAAACTGGCAGAAATACCAGAAAGCAAATATTTAGCACAACTCAATGTCTCCCTGCCAAAATTTAGTAGTTTAAGTTTACTATGAAAACACCAAGATCTTTCGATCTTCACACTTAAGCACCACAGAGGCACTACCAAACACTGGGACCATCATTTCGAAGTTCAAAAACCAGTAGCTAAAGCACTGCAGTAAAATTCACAGGCAAGTATGTTAACATCTTTTATTAACTCCTCATATACAGTTACTTGTCTTCTGGTTTGTTGAAGCAGTAAGTCAGACAGCATTTGCCACAGTAATGTCTGTCGAAGTGGCTGGCCATGAACACGCCAGCACCACATTCATCTGAAGGGCACTCGCGACGCAGCCGACTGATCTTGCCGTTCTCATCCACCTGAAAGCACAAACCTGCTGTTAAGAGAACTTCCCCAGCACATCCTAAAGTCTACGTGACTGAGAACACTGAGCCTCTTCTAATACACAATGCAGGCAGCTTAGTGCTTATAAACCCACATCCAGAAGTCTCGGGACCTCTTCCATTGAAGTCAGTGTCCAGCTGTGCACAAGCGCTTACGCTAAGTCCAGAACTGACATACAACAGACTCAGAACCTTCATTTGGAGCAGGCAGCTAGAGCTGAGCTGCATTACAGAAGCTCATTCAAATACCAAAGGGGGAGAGAAAACTATTTTTAAACTGTCATTTTTGGAATACTCCACTCAAGCAAAAGTGGTTATACTGGATATTCAAATCTGCTCACTCCATAAGAAAATACCGATACATTACAAAGAAAATTGTTTCCAACAAACCCTGACTTCACTGAAAGTCTCCCCATCACTTTCAAGTGGCTCACCTTATAGTACTTCAGGACAGCCAGCTTAACCTTCTTTCTCTTATGCTTATTCTTCTTGGGAGTGGTGTAAGACTTCTTCTTCCTTTTCTTGGCACCCCCACGAAGTCTCAACACAAGGTGAAGAGTAGACTCCTGTGTGTAACAGAACCAAACAGCTTCCATAGTGCAATGAGAATGGACAACCAGCGTCACACACCTTCTAGTTAAGTGCAGACAGCACACAATACCACCTGAGAGGGATCCCCCACTCCCGAGTATGTGGTTCTTGGTTAGTTTTCAGAAATTAAAAGTATTAAATCATACCATGGGGTGTCAAACCGACTACAAGAAACTACACCAGTGCTCCCGTGACACCTCAGAATCTGATCTGTTTTCCCCACCTTTACATAGCAAATTTCCAAAACAGGGTTTTTTTGTTTTTGTTTTTTTTTTTAAATGGGCTACTCCTTTCCCCAAACGTTACCTTTTGAATGTTGTAGTCAGATAAAGTCCGTCCATCTTCCAGTTGCTTGCCAGCAAAAATCAGTCTTTGCTGATCAGGAGGAATTCCTAATGAAGTTCACAAAACAAAACAAAAAACACAAAAAAACCAAGATGGTAGAACAGTGTCATTTGCCCAGGTTTACAAGTAATCCTGAACTAAATAAATGGTACCAACAGCTGACCCCAACCACTATTGCAGGTCAGGCACAATTTTAAGTGTTTACATATTTTCATCACATTATTTGTTAATTTTGTAAATTTCCTTTTACACACAGCACAGGTAACAGGTCTAGAGAACTAAGTAACTTGACAAAATTCACTCATGTGGAATCACTGCAAGATTCCAGTCATGCAGCTCGGCTCCGTGCTCACAAGCTTGTGTCTACTATGTCATTTCACAATAAACCGAGGGCACTGTTACTTAAAAAGTTTTTTAGCCGGGTTACCTGATCTCATCCCACCCCACCAGGAGCCATCAGTGTGTCTGGCTCCTACACCCAGGTTAGTTTTCCTGAGCTATCAAATACTACTTGCCTTCCTTATCCTGGATTTTGGCTTTTACATTTTCTATTGTATCCGAGGGTTCAACCTAAAAGTTGTGAAATGCAAGCATGTTGGTTACACAAAGAAAAAAACCACTGGAATAAAAACGCATTTAGTTCCATTTGACTGTTAGCACTGAGCCAGGCTGGGTGGGCAACCTTTCCAAACTACGACCGGGAAGCAGAGCCGGCTCCTTGCCCCAGCCGAGACCGGGCGGCGGCCCCCGGCCCCACGTGCTCACGCCGGCCAGCGAGGAGCGCCTCATTGCCACCGCCGGGCCTCTGCTGCGGCTGGCCGGCCGGGACCACCGAGGGCAAGTCCCGACACTAACGAAAGTCAGGCCCCGGGCCCTTGCTCGGCAAAACCACCCGCATTCGGAGCACGGCTTCAGAACCGCAATTCCCAGGCATTCTCGAAAAGCTGGAACACAGCGCCCGTCCCGCAATACCACCCCAAGTCCTCATTCAGGCCCGGGCTTTCTCTCGCACCACCCGATCGTACCTCGAGCGTGATGGTCTTCCCCGTAAGGGTTTTCACGAAGATCTGCATCCTGGTGGCGGGCCCACCTGCGCTGAAGGAAAAGAAGAACCCGATTAGACCTGGGACACAGGAGCACGACAGCGCCCAGGCCCCTGGCCTGAGAGCGGCACCAGAGCACACACTCACCGCAGATGGCGGATCGAAAAGGAAGAGCGCCGCCGGCCCACGGGGTTTCCCGGCACCCCCGCCGAAGGCCCCGCCTCTTAGGCGGCCACACCAGATGCCTGAGCCCTGATACAGCGGGTGCCTAGCCATTTGCCGTATTGCGTCGTGACTCTCACGTCTTCCTAGCCTGCGCTTATTTCTGACAGTCACCTTCAGAATGCTCTCAAGACGGTGTATTTAAAATTTTAAAATGGTTTTAAAAGGCTTTTCCCATACAGTCAACGTGGCTGGGAGGGTCTTTAACAGGAGGCGGGCTCGGGGGAGAGGCCCCACTGGAGAGGCAGAAGGAAACGGAGGTGCATTCTGGGAATTGTAGTTTTCTGATGCTCTCCTCTAGCTAGGACTGCTTGTCCCAAGATGCAGTTCCACACCCTGGGTTCCTTAGTTACTATGTGCAAGTACTGGATATGGTGTTTGGAGAAAGGGCTTCAGGTGAGGACGCGAGAAGGCATGAGGCAGAGTAATGGTTAGGGCGGGGTGGGAACGAGCCGGAAATGACTAGGAGGGAAACCTTAAGGGGCAGGACAGGAACGCCGGGCGGGAAAGCGTCCTTCACCCACTCACAGAGGCAGCTGTCTGCCAGCCGATCCCTGGGCTTCCAGGGGAGGAAATCCTTGGGGCCGAGGCCAGGCAAACGGAAAAATAGGAAGTCCTAAAAATCTCTGCCGTCAGCCCTTACGTTTCTTAGCCTCAGGAAGATTCTGGCTTTTGCACCACTCTGAAACGGTTTAATCTGCTGAGAATCTCTGTAGTTTTCAAAAGGTGTTTTTTTCTTGGGCCCTCCCTCCTCCGCTGCTTCCCCAAGCCCATTAGTAGGGAGCTGGATGGAAGTGGAGCAGCCGGGACTGGAACCGGAGCGCAAATGGGATGCACCAGTCGCAGGCGGTGGCCTACCCCTCCTGCGCTTCAACGCCGGCCCCTGCGGTTTTCAGCTGTTAACACGAAGACACGGCAAAGAAGCCTGCAGAGTGGTTATTTGGTTACAGAATTTCTAAGTTTGGACGTTGAGTGAATTGGTGAAGGCCCTGAGAGGATGCCCGAATAGGTTCTGAGCCCGAATGGGGTGCTCTAGGGGCCAGGCAGGCCAAGTGGGAGCCGCTGGGTCCTCCCGGCCTTTTCTCCACTGCGCAAACCAGAGGCTTTGCTAGTGTGCTTAGTGTCTTCTATGCGAGGAGCTGTACTTGGTTAGTAAGAGAAGAGCTCCTTTCTTCCTCAAACACACGTTGTTTGGATCAATATCTGATTTAGTTTTGTTAAAGCTTTGTACTAATTTATGTTCTTTTTTCCCCCCTTTCAGGCTTATCACAGTTTTACTTTATTGCAAAAGCAGGTCACGACTTAAAGTTTCTCTGGTGAACAAGTGTGCGGATTGTGACTTATGTCAGTCCAAGAAATAAATAAACATGCAGTTCTCCCTCCTATCATTAGTAGCAGTGACAAGGAATTTTTGGAAAATATGCAAAGATACATAATTACAGAAACGGAAAGAGTGGGCTGTAATGAGGAAGGACCTGCTGATGAGTATTACATCATATACCGCAATGTTTTTGATAAGGTATCATAATCCTTTTAAGACGAGGAAGTGTTCCTGAGGGTGGAAATTAACTGTCTTGGCAACCAGCACTCCTGCCTGGCTTGCACCCCTGCGTGTCTGACCGGACTCCACTCTCAGTCTTGAGTTCATCCAATTTTTCAGGAAGGGGTGATGGGGAAAATGCAATTGTGGGTTTATATGGGTATTACCCAACTGTTAATCATTGTTTCAGTTAGTTTAAGAGCAGGCAATAACTTTTTGGTCAACAACCTGACTGTGATAGTCATTTTAACCCTAACTTCTGAAAATATCTATTTCATTAGCAACTGGGCCTTAAGTAATCACCCAATGTGTTCCTTATTTTAAATTTGTGGTATCATTAAAGTATTGGTTTAAATTTAATCTAACATATTAAACTGAGACCTCTTCTACTTAGAGATCAAGATAGACATGGTAAACTAGAGGTTTGACTGGACTTACCATGAGAAATATGGCGCTCAAATTAGGAAATGTTATGTCTTTTTTATAACATTTTATTCTGCTCCTTATGGTTTAGAAATGTCTTTTCTTCCCCTATAAACAATTTCAGTTTGCTCATTGACCTAATTGTTTGAACTGTCTTTTTTTCACCCTCCCTTGGAAGATGCTCTGACAGTTAAAACATAGTGAAATCAACAACTTTCCTCCTTGCCTAGAGGAAGCACTTACCTTAAGATTTCAATAAACTACTGGTCTCTGAGTAAAACAGCCACAGGCAAAACAGGAACTCAGTCTTTTACTTAATTTGTAAACATTAGATGCAATGAATCTCCTTTCTTCTCTAAAAATCTCAGTACTTCACTCTCAGGAAAAGTGAGCACAAAGTAGTGATAAGTGCCTACCAGTAGAATGAAGAAAATTGGTACAGATCAGTAAGAATATAAAATAGAGAGACCAAAGTTTTCCTTCCTTTTAAGTTATCCAGAAAATTTATCTTACAATCAATACATTGCACAGTTAACTTCATTTTGCATGTTGTTATGACAAATCATATTGCATTAGGTATGTTTACATAAAGGTAGTGTCTTGAATAGATTTCATAATTCTTTTTTTTATTTGTTTTTTTGACAGGCAGAGTGGACAGTGAGAGAGAGAGACTGAGAGAAAGGTCTTCCTTTGCCGTTGGTTCACCCTCCAATGGCCGCCACGGCCGGCGCACCACGCTGATCCGAAGGCAGGAGCCAGGTGCTTATCCTGGTCTCCCATGGGGTTCAGGGCCCAAGCACTTGGGCCATCCTCCACTGCACTCCCAGGCCACAGCAGAGAGCTGGCCTGGAAGAGGGGCAACCGGGAAAGAATCCGGCGCCCCAATCGATACTAGAACCCGGTGTGCCGGCACCGCAAGGCGGAGGATTAGCCTAGTGAGCCGCAGTGCCGGCCATAATTCTTGAGTCACACCAAGACTCTTAGCTGTGTGAAATCAGTAAAAGAAGGTCCTAACCGTGCCATGCTTATCTTGGCATCTCCAAAGGCTAACTCTTGTCGGAATTTTTCTTACATGAACAGCTGTCTGCTTTACATTAGTATAGTTATGGTGAAGTTGTTTTGGTGATGTTGGTAAATTTAATTCTTAGGGAAAACACACGGAGTTAAATGAAAACTATCTCATCTATAGTCTGTGTTCCTTTTCTCTCCACCCTCCACACTATCCATCTAGGCTAAGTGTATGTTGTAAAAGTGTACATTGTAAAGAATCCTATCTTTAAGGACAGGGAAGAGTCTATATTTACTTTTTTATTCTTCGAATATTTATTTAGTTGAAAAACAGAGTTAGAACGAGAAAGGGGCAGAGAGAGAGAGATTTTCCATCTGCTGGTTCACTCCCAAAATGGCTGTAACAGCCAAGACTGGGCCAGGCTGAAGTCAGGAGCCAGGAGCTTCTTCTGGTCTCCCATGTGGGTTCAGGAACCCAAGGATTTGGGCCATCTTCCAGTGCTTTCCCAGGCCATCAGCAGGGAGCAGTATCGGTAATGGAGCAGCTGGGACTTGAGCTGGTGTCCAGGATGCTGGCACTGCAGGTGGCAGGTTAACCCACTGCACCACAGTGCTGCCCCTGAGAAGCTTCTAGCTTCTTACAATTGACCCTTTTCATTTTCCTGTCATTCCAGCATATCAGATTATAAACGAGCTATTAATGACGGGTTTCTCAGATTTCCTTTCCATCTTGGAAGATTCTAGTTGGGAAGAAGATAAAAGTGTCAGCTTGCATCTCTTAATACTTGGAACTGGAGAACAAATGCCAAATAATGTTTAAAATGGTGTAGCCTAGAGAGTGGTGTCTGAATCAAGGGTCTGGGACTCATATACTAAGATTTGGGGATGGAGTGTAGAGCAAGCCAAGGACCTATTAATCAAAGAAGACCAAAGCTCAGAAGAGTGAGGCTCTACAGAAATGGGTGTCGTGCAGAGGCATCGGGACTTTGGAAAGTGGCTGGCCGTTTGTATTCCTAGTAGTATTTTGTACAATGTCCAAGACATTCAGATGGAATGGATGACATTCCTCTTCTTCCTCGGGCTCTGGTATCAGATAGGTGAAGTTGGGGTTTTCTTCAGTTTGATAGAAACGTTGTTTCAGGAGTCGCATGTTCCAATGCCTACAGAGGCTAGGAAGATACTAGAAAAGAGTTAAATAAGAGAATGAGGAACGGAGGAGTCTGTGGTAAACTGAACCAAGGCAAAGTAAAGCTCCAGCTAGTATTCTCATTAAGGAATGGGGATTCTTTTTTTTTTTTTTTTTTTTTTTTTGACAGAGTGGACAGTGAGAGAGATGAGAGAGAAAGGTCTTCCTTTGCCGTTGGTTCACTCTCCAATGGCCGCCGCGGCCGGCGCGCTGCAGCCAGTGCACCACGCTGATCCGGAGGCAGGAGCCAGGAGCCAGGTGCTTATCCTGGTCTCCCATGAGGTGCAGGGCCCAAGCACTTGGGCCATCCTCCACTGCGCTCCCGGGCCACAGCAGAGAGCTGGCCTGGAAGAGGGGCAACCGGGACAGAATCCGGCGCCCCAACCGGGACTAGAACCGGGTGTGCCGGCACCGCAGGCAGAAGAAATGGGGATTCTGTGTTGGTATATTTTTCAGATTTCTCAAGGGAAGCTGAATATATGGTTTTTTGGACAAAATTTGCTAAATTTTAGAATATTTTGCGGGTCAAAGTTGCCAACTATATGCTACATATAGTGTGCCAGAGTGCATCCTCTGCTTTGCTGCATTTTCTTTGCATTCTTAAAGGTTCCTATGAATGTTCTGAACTCTGTTTCTTCTGACAACCAGAACTGGGAGCTGGTCACATCACTGCAAGTCTGTTATCAGCCCCTTACTGCGTCTGACTTGTCTTGGGTTGTTGGAGCAGCTCACAGGGGTCTGTGAAATAGAGCATGTCCAGGAGCAGCAGGTGCCTACTCAGGAGGACCAGCTGTTGATGACCTCCGTTTTATTACAGATTCCTGCTTTGGGTTCCTGGGGAGTGTGGATAAGTCAAAGGCAACCAATATCCCCACTGAAATGTCCTCTCCTGGCACTTGCCAGCAACTAAAAATCTCTGTGTCATTTCTTGTTAGACAGTACATCTACCTGGATAACTTTTTCTAGCTTTTTTTTTTTTTTTTTTTTTAAGCTAAAGAGCAAGTGAGGGAAACTAGCCTAGGGTGTGTCAAGGGCAGAAAGCATAATTGCAGCTAGCAGAGAAGATCAGCAAGATCACATCTGTTCCCTTTGTACATCAGTCCCTTCTGAAATCATCATGAGCAGAATTTGGGAACAAAAAGTTGTAACTTTTCTGTTGTTCTCTAACCTCATTGAAACAATTTTTTCTCATTTATTATTTCTGGAAGGATGACTCATACACAAGACAGAGAGAGAAAATATACAAACTAGTAAATCAGAGTATACAATGGAGAGTCAGGCTTTTCTTACCTCAGATCCTACTTGATCTTTTCTTCTCTATGGGCACCTCATTTCTTTTGTTGTGCTTTCTTAGGTTAATTTCAGGAACATTCTGTGCTTAAACAGCATTAGAAGCCATGAAAATACATTGATGTGGAGTTTTTGACACTTGCGCTTGATATCTTGAGAATAGAAACACAATTAGGAATTGAGAGTATTGACTGACCAGTAGGAGCTGATAGGTTAGAAAGACAGGGAGATGGATTTTAAGGTCTAAATGAAAAAAGATGACATTTGGAGAGAGTAATATATATATGTTTAAAAGCTACAGAATCAGGAAAATTTGGTCTCATGTTAGTTTTAACTGACCCCATATAGTGTGTGTTGAACTAGAAGAAGCCTGGGGTCCTTTTCTCAAATGTAAGCTCACAGTATCTACCATATTGGTCCTGAGCAAGCACCTACTAAGTAAATACCAGTTGTTTTTTAGTACCCAGTCATGTTGGAGCTTGCCGTGAAATTTTTAGATTTCTAATTGCTAATCATTTCATTCGAAAAATAATCTGTAAGCTCTTTGCAAGGCATTAGATCCATTGTGTTCTAGAAAAAAATCTATACCATAGGCAGAAAAATCATATTTCAGGTAATAGAATATGTCACTGCATACAAATCCATTCTTACTTCAATCAAAAAAGAATATGATGCCTTTGTTGAGACAATAAAGAAAGGCCGAAGGACTACATTTTTTCTTCATGGAAAACTTAAAGTTTTGGCAGCAGAGCCCACAGCTTTCGTGTATCACAAGAGAAGAATTACACAACTTGAAGCAAAGTAAGTACATTAGTAACCAGCCTGACAGGTGATACTTGTGACTTGATTGTTACAGCTAGCCAGTGTAACATGAATCAGTGGTTCTTTCTCTCTTTAGTTTTACCTTAAAGTCATACTTTTCTGTTACTAACTTGAAATAACGATTGCATTTTTTCTTACTTATTTCAAGTAAGAAGTGGTGATTATGTTTGATAATTTTCTAATAGCTCTTAGTTTACCTGGAGATGAGTTGTGATGATGTCATACAGGAAGGAAGGCAGGTTATCACTCCTGGTAACACCTTGCATGGCAGACTTGATATTTTTTGATTACCATCTGAATTAAAGCACTTAATCTTTGATGCACAAAGATAACTAATGAATTGGGAGATGATAAAATGCTCACTGTTACATTTTCAGTGTTACCTTTGGCAAATGCCAGATAAATTGTCTTTATAGATTCTTTTTTTTTTTTTTTTTAAGATTTATTTATTTATTGGAAAGTCAGTTACACAGAGAGAGGAGAAGCAGAGGTCTTCATCTGATGGTTAACTCCTCAATTGGCCTCATTGGCTGGAACTGTGCCGATCCGAAGCCAGGAGCCAGGAGCTTCCTCCAGGTCTCCCACGCGGGTGCAGGGGCCCAAAGACTTGGGCCATCTTCCACTGCTTTCCCAGGCCATAGCAGAGAGCTAGATCAGAAGTAGAACAGCTGGGACTTGAACCGGCGCCCATATGGGATGTCAGTGCTTCAGGCCAGGGCGTTAACCTCCTGTTAACTATATGATCTAAAGGCGCCAGCCCCTATAGGTCATTTCAAATCATCTTAGAATCTTATGTGAAGTTTGATATCCATTTGTGGTGATATGGCTGGCTAGAAGTTGGGATAGACTCCTCTTAGTGAAAGATGCTACATAAATTATTTCCTAAGAAGCATCAGAGAGCTGCTGAGATAGTAAGAGATTATCAGGGCAAAATCTAAAAGAAGACAAAAGATAAGCAAAGCACTGAAACTGCTTTGGCTCTAGGAACATTTGTTAAAACTAGTACTGTGAGTTTCAGGTTTTACTGTGCCATAGGAGAGAGAGACCAAGTCCTGGGTCTGTTCAAGGGGTGTGGTCTACTTTGAATAAAGGGCTACACCTTGGTAGAGTGGACTAGAGGTAAACTGGCCTACCCCTGAGGTCTGCATGAAAAATTGCCTTCTGCTCAGCAGTGTTAGGAAAAGAGGCACAGAATAGAGAGGAGGCAGTGTACGAATCTACAGCCAGACCGAATTTATTCAGAGAAAATAAATTCGCAGAGGTGGGTGACCAACTGCTGGTGTGCACATTGATGGAACACATGGCAGAAGACCCTGACCCCAGGGGCGGGCCTTTTTACATTTTAGGAGGGCTGGGGATGGGTGTGGGGTAGGGGGCAGTGGAAGTGAATTCCTGGAACTGGTCTTTCAGGTGGCAGTGCAGGGCCTTGGGAACCTGGGGGGTAGGGGTGGGGGTGTAAAGGCAATGGGGTGTGAGACCCAATTGAGATTTAAGGGCAAGGAATAAATTCCAGTGTTTATCTATCTTTTGGGCAATGAGCGAGAATAGCTACGGCTTATGTCTTTGTTCCATCAAACAGACCACTCATAAATATAAGGCTTATTTTTGAATTGATGAAATGTTTTTTTTCCTTTTCTTTGACAGGCAGAGTGGACAGTGAGAGAGAGAGACAGAGAGAAAGGTCTTCCCCCTGCCGTTGGTCCACCCTCCAATGGCCGCCACGGCTGGTGCGCCGGCCTGACGGCAGGAGCCAGGAGCCAGGTGCTTCTCCCCGTCTCCCATGGGGTGCAGGGCCCAAGCACCCGGGCCATCCTCCACTGCACTCCCCAGCCACAGCAGAGAGCCGGCCTGGAAGAGGGGCAACCGGGACAGAATCCGGTGCCCCGACCGGGACTAGAACCCGGTGTGCCGGCGCCGCTAGGCGGAGGACTAGCCCAGTGAGCCGCGGCGCCGGCCGATGAAATGTTTTAAAATTAAATAGTGGTGTCAGTTGCACAACTCTGAATATTCTAACATTCATTGAATTATAAAGAGACAATGGCTAAGGATTTTCTAGAACTGGTGAAAGATCCCAAATTCACAGATTCAAGGAATCCCAAGCATGATAAATGCTGAAAAACAATCAACTAGAATCACCATAGTGACGTTTTCAAAACTAAAGAGAGCATAGCAGTAGCATAGAAGGGAGCAGCGGTCAGGCTTCTTATACATGTGGTGACATGTATTGACCTGCCTTTCTTCTTATGGTCAAACAATATCTCATTTTATGGATACACCACTTTTTGTTTACCCATTCATCTGTTAATGGGCACTTGGGTTTCCAACTCAGGCCATTGTGAGTCACTGTGAATATTCATATACAAGTGTCTGAGTCCCTGGTTTAAATTATTTTGAAAGTCTGTTAACTTGTAACATCTTTTTTCTATAAACACAAATTTATTTGGGAGAAAGGCAAAGGATATTTTATTCCGTTATTCCTCTTTTGTAAGTTTCCAGGTTTTTACTGAGTCAACTGTAGTTACCAAGAACTCTGTAATAATTGAAAGCAGGCATCAGTTTTCTGCTGACGAACTGGTTTTTAATTCGCTACAAACCCCGTGACATTTATTATACTTGACAGATTTTTTACCTGATTGAACTCTGCTCAGCCTTCCCTGAACTTTTTCAAGTAAACTTCACTGTTGGACTTCCACATTCATCCATATTCGTCCTGTGTTAACAGTGATCCCATCAAGCCGGCGCCGCGGCTCAATAGGCTAATCCTCCGCCTAGCGGCGCCGGCACACCGGGTTCTAGTCCCGGTCGGGGCGCCGGATTCTGTCCCGGTTGCCCCTCTTCCAGGCCAGCCCTCTGCTGTGGCCAGGGAGTGCAGTGGAGGATGGCCCAGGTGCTTGGGCCCTGCACCCCATGGGAGACCAGGAAAAGCACCTGGCTCCTGGTTCCTGCCATCGGATCAGCGCGTGCGCCGGCCGCAGCGCGCCGGCTCGCGGCGGCCATTGGAGGGTGAACCAACGGCAAAGGAAGACCTTTCTCTCTGTCTCTCTCTCTCACTGTCCACTCTGCCTATCAAAAAAAAAATAACAATATTAAAAATAAAAAAAAAACCCGTGATCCTCATCATTTTAAACAGGGCCCCCCCCCCTTTGTTGTTTGATCATTCCTCAAAAATCTTACCAAAATTCCTCCATCCCGACCATTTCCCCCGGGGCAAAATCAAAACAACCCGGGCCTGGCCTTTAAAAAAAAACCCCCGGTAAGGAAAAATTTAAGCCCAGAACATTCCCCCCCCCCCCCTGAAAATGCCCCCCCCGGAAATTTTTTTTTCCGGGGGATTCCCACCCCTTATCCCTGGCTTGGAAAATCCCCCCTGGCCGGGGCTCTAATTTAAAAGTGGAGCCAGGATTTTCCCTTCCTTTGCTGAAAAGCCCCCCCCGGGGGTAGACCCTTAAAATGTTTTTTCCACAAGCCCCCCCTTCAAAAAAAAG